TGGTTTGAGTGGGACAGAAAGAGCACTGCAAGAGAGATTCATTTTACAGCCAGCATTCACACACGTAAAATGAAGGCTGACATGTAAACAGGTAACATTTTATTTAAGATTTAAGATTTGTTTCTGATTTCTGCACAAAATGAAGACTTTTATTACTGGCTTAGGCACAGTCAGATCCAGTCTATGTCCTAGGCAAAGACTCTGTAAGGTATTTCTCCAGTCAGGTTGCTTTTAGTGTCAACATTTGCCCCTGTGAATGCTGCTGCTGAAGGCACAAATAGCCTTCGGCACAAATAGCACAAATGACTGTGTGGCATTTGCACGTCAGGTGTCCTATGTAGACTCAGCAGCTCATAGGACCAATCTCTCACTCGAGTCTGGAGTCTTAGAAATAAATCTTATCCTGACCAAGAATAGGACTGCTGGAAATTGTACGAAGAAGCCTATTTTCGTGATAACTCCACCTCACATGTGAAGAGGTTTAGGTGGTTTGGATCAACCTCAAGTGCACTTCAGCTTTTGCAGTATGTATAGTCCTGAAATGGTGATTGAGTTTGTAGTAATTTGTGACCTCTCTTCTGAAGACGTTATCTGGGTGTCACTTCAACCTCCTCAAATTGGGTGATATTGATAGAGAGGCAAGAATTTTTGGGGTGATATTTTTTGGACAAAATTGGGATAAAATGTGACAAGCTTTCCAATGCAGAGCATTCTAAATTTATCCCAACTATGCAATTGGTCCAATAAAAGCTATCACCCCCCAAAAATCCTTGTCTCTTTCATAATTCCTGGACCATCATGGCTATGTTACTTTAACACTACTGTGGTATTGACAGGAAAGAATGTAGAGCCAGAGATTCCGTTCATTAGCAGATCTCCTCTAAAGAGATGGTACTTGGAGTACCTCCTGTCCTACCCTAGAATTCACGAGGGTCATGGATAATTGCATTGCCCTGTGCCAGCTTTTGTGAAACTGGCTTTGTGGAATTATCATTGTCAACTCATGTCAGTATTTTTTCATCCAGAAGAGGAAGTTAAGTAATTCAAGCCAGAGAGCCCATCCTTTTTTGCACAAAGCCTACATTTTAAACAGGTCCCTCTGATCATAAAAGAAAACTACATTGGAACATGGGATCTGGGTGGGGAGGCGACATTTTTGTTAGCAAAGGCTTATGGAATGCATTGTCCTCTTTACAGCCAATTGGGGAAGAAGCCAGGTGTTGTAAGAATATATTTACCTTTAGAGCTGTCTGAATAACTGATTTTTAGTTCACTGATCAAACAGAACAACATTTACAAAAATCTTCTGGTTTTCTCACCGAAATAAGTAGCATGGGAAAAATCATTTTGTATCATTTATAGACATTTCATTTTTTTAGAAGTAAAGTAGGTAAATTGCAGACAGAAGCAACTTTGTAATACAAATTAAAATAATAATTTCTAAATATTTCAACAGTTCAATTTTTACACACCAGTTTTAGTTTTGGCTGAAACAATTCTATTAATTCACTGTATTTTTCAGTTGACCTGAATATGTATTTTTCATCAAAGTTTTGCTCCAAAATATTTCACTCTGATTACTCAAGGGCATGCAAATCCAGTTTGATATACTGGCTGTGTTGTGATAGCAGACATATAAAAGTTATGTTCAGGAAAGCAGATTTGTGGAAAAAAACATTCTATAATATGATTATTATTGAAGTACAAGTACTCTAATTTTGCTGGCTAGTAATATATATCCTTCTCTTCCCTGATGAAAATAAAAAGGTTACATTTTGCAGAAATGGAGTTTTGAATTTTGGGGCCAGTTTTGTCCATCTGCCTATAACTGTGGCCTGTAAAACCTAGCGGCTAATTTTCTCCACAAGTAAAGGCGTAACTAGTCAGTATTGCAGTCTGGGCAGTACTGTGCACCCCTCACCCTATGCCTTACCTGTTCTGGCTCATGTCTCTGGTTCTTGGTCCAGATCCAGGGAAGGCAGGGAAGTGATGGAGGTGTGGAAGACCAGCCAGAGGTTCACTACTGTGTAGGGAGAAATGTCACCCCAGTTTTTTACCATTAAAAGGTGGCCAAAAAAAATGATGGCCAAAAATGGGGTGACACCTCCCCCAAGCAGAAGTGAACCTCTGGCCACTCTACCACAACACATAGTTGCTGTTTTCCTTCTTTTCTTCCCTCCAGACAGCCACACTGCTGCTGCTGGAGCTAGAGCAAGGAAGGTATAGGGTTCAGAGGGATAGGGGCCAGGAGGGTGAAGCACCCCCTCCCAGCTCCTTTCTGGAGCCCCCTTTTAGGCAATACCTGGGGCTCATGCTGTGCTCACCCAGACATCATTACATTCCCATCCATAACTATCAATTTAGAGTAACTTCAAGAAGGCAATAGGGCTAGCAACAGACATTCAGAAAGCCCAAGCCTGAATTGATGCCATCTCTGCAGGTTAGTCTAACCTGGCTAGGCTAAATCAGTTTTGTAACCAGACAGACATCCCAGAAATGCAGGCACATGCCTGCAGTGGCTCAGGCTAGAAGCTGGGGGGGGGGGGGACGGGACGGGACTAGAGCAGTCCTCCCTTCCTTCCACAGCTTGGAGCTGACAGGGGCATGGCCAGGCTCTGGCAGGACACTGGGATTAGGCCAGCAGGGAACTGATAACAGTGTTTATCACCCAATTAAGAAAACAACGGAGGGACAATACCAGCTACTTGTTGATTCTATCTGTTGATTCAACATGGACTGTAGACAGCATGTGTTCTGCTGCCTAATACACAGATACCTCCTCATTAAGGTGAAGGGGAGGGGGGAATTCCTGCTTAGCAGGGTGTGGTGAGGGAAAGGGGTGAAGCCCACAGTATCTGGAGCCCCAGCTAGGGAGCAGAGGGGAGGGGTCAGCCCTGCTGTGGAGCAGAGAGCCCCACCCATCCCAGAGAGCATGTTGGGATGCTGGGGGTGTCTGGTTTATCTTAAACCAGCAAGGGGTCTGGGACAGACATTGCATAAATTGGTTTGAACCAAATCAGTTAAGTCTGATACTACATTCCACCAGGTTTATCTCAAATCAGTTTCAGCCATTCTCAGATTGGTTTATGTGCACTGAACATCTGTTTTTTTACAGGTTTAAAACAGTTTCTGATCACTTAGACCGGTTTATGTATAATGTCTATCCCTAGCCCAGATGTCCACTGGCATGATGCCTGCATGGAAACAGACTTGTACAAATGAGTGATTGCACTCAAGCTTATCCTTGTAAAGCTCTTCATTAGTTAACATTGTATCTTTTCTGTGGGGTTAGTTGTGTTGCTGTGGACCAGAAAAATCAAGAGCATCTGTCAGCTTGTCAACACATCAGAGCTGTTGTTGGCTGTACTCCTTCCCAATACTTGTAAGGGGAAACCTAAAGTGCTTTAGGAGTGGGTGTAGGTCCTTGAGGAATGTGGTAGCATTTCTGGGAGCTGTGCTGTGACAGGTCTGGAGTGCAATTGGGTCATTTTATTTAGATTAATAGTAAATTTGTCAAAAACAGGGATTTGCGGGGGGGCGGTATATTTGAAATGCAAGTCAAATCTGGCAAATAATTTTGGCTGAGAAATGGAGGAAAAATCGTAAGAATCTTTGAAAAAATAATTTTTTCATTTTTAAGTGAAATATTTCATTTTGGAATGGCTGCAGTGTTTTGTTTAAACTTTTTTACTGTTACTTTTCAAAATGTATTTTTTAAATATAAATTTACCTACATTTAAAGGAGGGGGGAGAGAAAAAAGGCAAAAGAAGTAAGTAACTTGAAAATGAAACATTCATTTAGGGTTGACCAAAATGACATTTTCATTTTTTTTTGTTTTGCTGAAAAGCCAGAAAAAGTGCCACCTTGGATCAACTTGATCCCTTTTTTTTTTAAAACTGATATTATGCTTTAGCCCCAACGCCAAAACCCCCCCCATTATGTGGTTGTAGTAGAAGGAACAGACACTGCAGTCTGGAAGACAATGTCTTAATGTTCTGCTTGGGAGATGTACATATAGCAGGTGCAGGATTTCGAAGCTAAAGGCAAGTGCCAGCTTTATGGCAGCAGGCACAAACTTTTTGTTATGCATTTTGTTTTCATTAAGGCTAACAAGTAGCTTATCTCAAATCATGAACAATAAGTGAGAGACTCTCTGGCACTCCCAGGAGTCCTGTAAGAACTCAAGAAAACTTTTGTTCTTGCTAAAAATAGATTGTTTCAGTTGAAGCTGCTGTCATTACATCATATGAAAAATTACTTTTAAATTCCAAAAATAATTGGTGCAACTGAGGTGCACAGAGAACTTCCAGAGCACATAGTCACACTGAGTTCTAGCCAAGTCTACCAAAGTCTTAACCTCAGAGCCCCATCCTATACTGTTTGTATAAACCAGACTCCCACTGTCTTCAGTGGCAGTATGGGATCAACCAGGTTTGTGTAATTGATAAACAATGAGTCCAAGGAATTCACAGCCCCTCTCAGCCAGTTTTAAAAATGAAAAGAAAACCCCAAAAAACCAACAACCCCAAAACACCTCTCCACAGAGAATAACAATAATATAAGACATAATTTTGGTCATTACTAGTGTAGTGAGCAATAGATACTTTTAAATCTTTGTCTTCCATAGCTATTCCTAGTTTACCTCAGTGTAACAAGAAGGCAAATCAGGCCCATAATTTAAATATAACATTAACCAGCTTGCTTAATTCTTCCAATTACAACAATAAAATTCAGGAGTAACTCCACAGAAATCTAGTGATATTAGACTGATTTAAGACATGCGTACATACAATTAGAATTAGTCTTTCTATATATATATTAAATTAATCACCCAATGAACTTACTAAAGATTCTAGAACATAAGCCTTGATCCTTCAAGTTGTGTACTTAAGATGGGAACCTGTGTCTGCTGAGGCCTATAGTTTACAGGATTAGGTGCTTAGATGCATGCAGAAAGACTTAAAATAGATTAAAATGAGGATTTCCAAGATTTACTTACATGCAATAAATTCTTCCTCCAAAATGCCAAGCTTTGCTTCTGGTCAGTCAGTTCACTTATGCTGTTTGAACAAAAATAATATGTTTGTATCATATAAATAAGTGAGGGTATATATTTGCCACTCCAACCATCTATTTCCCCCGCTTTCCCTATACACTGGATTTCTTAACTTTTGTTCTAATATAACCCTGTCTGCAGTTTTAGTCTGTTGCAAACACAGGTCTAGCAAACTTGCTATCTGAGCTCACTCATGTTGTGCAACTGTTACAGAGGAGGGATTTCATTCATTCAGTAAACCAGTCCCCCTCACCAGCCCACTGCAGGTGGGGATCCAGGAGCAGGTGCAGACAGCTCACCTTCCCTCCCGTTGCAGACACACAGATAGCAGGTAAAGCACTGTGTCCTTTCTCAGCCTTTTACTTGTAACCCTATACTTATGGTCCCTCCCACCTCAGCAGTTCTCCCATCTGATTCCTCTCCATTGTTTACACACATGCATTTTGGTGGAACAGCATTATTTTTGCCCATATCAGCTGAAATGCCTTCTCTGTCTTATTCAACATTTAACTTCCTTCTGGACATGAAATGAACAACCTCTAACACCATCTATATTATACAAAGAATGGGACAGAAACTTTGTAAAATGTTACAATACCTGTATGTAAATCAAAGGTACAGCCTTACCTGGAATATTCTCTTCCAATTCTCTTTCAATCTGACCACGCTGACATAAAACCAGAAAGGGCTCAGACATGGGAAATAAAAAGGGTTTAACATGGAAAAATGTCCACATGGGTAGAAACTGAAAAGCTTGGGATTATTTTACTTAGATAAGAAAGGACTCAGATGGGCATGGCATAAAATAGCCATATAAAGAAGGTAAACCAGGAACTTATATTTTTCTTCTTGTGGTATAGAACAGAGGGACATTCAATATAATTTAAAGCAATTGCCAACAGGTGCTTTTCTTGCAACCAATACATTCAAAAGTAAACTATAGAAATTGTTTTCACAAAATAGCATTGAGGCCAAAAGCTTATCAGGAATAAAAAATGGTGATGGATTTTTGCGGGAAGCGTGAATATACATATTTACATTAAACATGAAGGCTTTCCCCCCCACTAAAATGTAGCATCCCTGGTGGAATATAAACCCTCCTGCTATAGGCCAATAAGCCACCTCTGATGGATGGAGGTTAGGGAAATAACTTCTCTTATGAGCAAGTTATCCATAACTGTCCATTGTAGGGTTTCATGTGCTTTTCCCTGCTGTGCTTAGTAATGGTAAGGAATGATGCCTATGTTTTTACTCTAAGTACTATACGTTCTATAGTGTCCTCTCTGACCTTTGGCACCCTACTGAGTCTTCATTTGGGAAATACAAAGGAAGGTCTTCCTATGGTTTTGGATGGAGAATGAGATGAATAAGAAAATTATTTTTTCTCTGTCTTTGGAGCCCTCCCTGTCAGAGCCCTCTCTGTCCTGAACTGCCAACAAAGTACATCTTAATGGAAGGGGGAAAAGGCTTTGAGTGTCTTGAATAATATAGGAATATTACACCATTAAGGGAAGGCTTGAGCACTGTCAATGCACCAATGCACATACATGAAAAGTTAGTTTATGCCCCACGGAGTGTATTTCAGACATGATAGTTCATTTTACATACATAGCTATTGGTGTTTCTACTTGGTAGTAGAGACTGAGTTCTAATAAGTGCTGGCAAGGCCAGGCAGTATTCAGAAAGCTTCTCTAGTATACTGTTTATAAATATAATTATTACTTATAAATACAGTCTCACTTTTCCTTAGTGCTTATGAACCCCTCTTTTGCATCATATCTATGGTCTCTCACACCCTGCTTGGTGGCTTCCCTCTTTCTTTTGTCTTTATCTAGTAGCCAAAAGTTTTACCTGTATATCTTCCCCTTGATATCTGGATTTCTCCCTAGGTTTTCTCACTCCGGTTATCAGGCTGCTGCTGTCTGATTTTTGGTGCCACCGTTCTAAACTTATGTCCATCCTTCCACTCCTGTATCTGAAGCATGCACTCTACAGTGAAATGATTACAAACCAAGAGCTTTTCATACATCTCCTCTCTCTAGCATGCACAGGGTGTATCTACATGTGCAATTAATGTGATTGAATATTCCAGCTCAATCTGAGCCAGAGTAAACTCATCCCAATGTCACTGTCTACACATGCATTTAGCACAGTAATTTACTGTGCTGCTGGATACCAGTTGTATCTGATGGGACTGTCCAGCAACACAGTAAATAATCTACTGCATCCTAATTCCCATGCACATGTTGATGCAGCTGCTTTACTGAAGAGCACATTAGTCTGCAGCACAGTAAAGCATCTCATGTAGACATGCCCACAAAAACATGGATTCCTCTGCCTGCCACTGCCTTTTTTTAGTTGCCTCCTCTATAGCGATCTCTTCTCCTTTATACTTAGATGGAACAGCTGATAAGCAGGGGTCCTGGTTTCCTCTGTTTAAAAATCACAAATTCTCTGTTAAAAAAATTCAAATTCTCTGAATAAAACCCCTAAAATCCATGTTTTTTCTATGATTAAAGTGAAACACCACTATATGTATAGGTATCAATTGAACACAATGTTTTATTAATTATTTAAAATTTAAAGCAATTTGGAGGCCTACCAGTGCCTCAATCACTATAATTAAATAAATTCTAAATACCTATAAATCTTGTGCTTGATTTTGGGTTATTACGAAAAACCAGAGCTCACCCTACCCGCTTTGTTCACCAGGATGCAGGTCCAGCTGTGGCTGTCCTCCTCCTCGCTTTGTGGTGATGAGCAGCTTTGATATGCTGGTTCTCTGCCTATGCCATTGCCCCTTACTCCCAAACCACAGCCCCATGGCCCTGCTGATGCCCCTCACTCCTCACCCAAATCCCCCCCGAGCCTGCTACTGCCTTTCACTCCTCACCCACAGCCCCTCTTGCCCCTGCTGGTGTCCCTCACTCTCTCCCACAACCCCCAGCCCCCCAGCTCTGCTACAGGCAGCCCCCAGCTGCCAGGGCTATGGGGCCAGGGACCTGGATCTGCAGCCCCCTGCCCCCTGCAGAAGCACCAGAGCCCTGGCTGCTGCCTGGGAGGTGGTGACTGCTGCAGCAGAGCAGAGCATGGATCCTGATTTTGCCTCTCCCATGGGTGGCACAGCCAGAGTGGAGCCTGTGGGGAGGGCAGATGTGGGCTTACTGCTGAGGGCTTGGTCTCTCTACCCTGCTGCCCTCCCCGCAGGGTATCTATAACCCAGTGGGCGGAACCCAATGCACCAGGGCAGAGCAGGACGGAGTGGGGAAGTTTGTTGCTGCCACTAAAAGATCCATGCCACCCTGATGAGGTGTCCCCTGCCCACCTGGCAGCAGTGAGGGGCACAACTCCATGCCATCACCCCCACTGCTGCTGAGTGAGCAGAGGGTACCTTGCTATGGCAGTGTGGGGCTTCCAGCAGCATCGCCCAGCTTACCCACCCCACTCTACCACACCGTGTCCAGCCCATGGGGCTGTAGAGGCCCTTGAGTGGCAGCAGCAGGGTGGAGAGCCCATAACAGGCAGCCTGCACCCACCCTGTACACAGATCTGGGGGGCATGTATTTCCCCATCCCCTCCCCAGGAGTGTGTGCAGTGGTGGGGAGCCAGCCCTGCCCCTAGCTCCACCCCTGAGACAAGCTGGCCATGATCCCATCCTGCTCCCCAACTGGGCCCTGCAGCCAGCCCAGGGCCCCAAGCCCTATGCACCCCCTGCCCCCAATTGGACAGCAGCCCCAGCCCTGCCCAATTCCATCCTTCCTTCACTATGGGGTCCTCAATTTCCACATACCTCCATGCCACCAGACTTACCTGTGGGGAGCTACTCTCCAAGCTGCCTGGTTTCATAGTTTCATAGTAGGTAGAGTGAGAAGGGACCTGAACAGATCATCAAGTCTGACCCCCTGCCATGGGCAGGAAAAAATGCTGGGGTCAAACGACCCCTGCTTGGTGATTATTTAGCCTCCTATTGAAGACCCCCAGGGTAGGAGCAAGCACTACTTCTCTTGGAAGTTGGTTCCAGATCCTAGTTGCCCTGACTGTGAAGTAGCGCCTCCTGATGTCTAGCCTGAATCTACTCTCGGTCAACTTATGGCCATTATTCCTCGTTACTCCTGGTAGTGCTCGGGAGAACAGGGACTCTCCCATAGCCTGCTGGTCCCCTTTGGCCAGTTTGTAGACGGCCACCAGATCCCCTCAGCCTTCTCTTGTGGAGACTGAACAGGTTCAGGTCCCATAGCCTCTGCTCGTAAGGCCTGCCTTGTTGCCTCCTGATCATGTGAGTGGCCCTCCTCTGGACCCTCTTGATGCTGTCCACATCCCTCCTGAAGTGTGGCACCCAGAACTGGACGCAGTATTCCAACTCCAGTACTCCAACTGTGGTGACCATGTGCATGTGTCAAGAGACCCCAAGAGACCTCAGGACTCATCAGATCTACTCATGCTTCACCTCCCCTACACCCCATCCAGACACCAATCATGATGTTGTTTGGGAACCAGTCTTTACCCAAGCTGAGTTCTGGGGTCTCTTGAAGGTAATCCTCTCCTGGATTTTCAGCAACAAGGCCTATTCCATGCCTCCTATGAAATTAGGTGTTGACAAAATAGTCTTGTGAAAATAATCCAAAGAAATGCATGAAATACTCATGCACCCTCGGTCAAGCTCTCCCAACAAGAACTCAAAATACAGCCCCTCTGGGTGCTCTAAAAATGGTAACAGAAACTGGAATGAAGTCCATAATCATAGTGCTTAGTAGGGCTGGACCCCTACTGGCTATCAAAGTCAGGGCTTCTGAGGTTTCTTGCTCTAGGACTTATGGCAAGACTTGCACCCTGCGCCTCCAGCACCAGGTACCACTCCTTGGCTTTACCTCTTGACCCCGGTTCCTGCCCCCCCGGTATGATTTCTCAATATTGGGCTGGCATGCCCACCCAGACCATGCCTATCAACCCTCCCTTAGATATGTCTGGCTCTCCCAGTGCTTTACCCCTGCAC